TATCTAGAAAACTATATTTTTACACTAACACAGGACACCCACCCATACTACGAACATCAGCCACACAAAGAATAATTGTTGTTTTTTTCTACAATTCTATTTATATTAAGCAGTTATCTGAAGCTAAAAGTTAATATATCTTCGAGCCGTATACACATCATCATACATCAACAGCCTATAAATGCCCACTGCTAAGCAAAGACTCTGCTCGCAATGAAAAGGTTAAAGCATTAATCACCACGCTTGCTCAATGCGTGTTGGCGATTTCAAACTTATGATTTGAAATTATAAGCTCAGGTTTTCTCACGATGTTTTCCTTCACTGTTTGTCAGTGATATCTAAATAATCTTAGAAAGTACATATAACTCGCAAAAAGCCACAATGAAGCGGGCGTCTTAAATCTTTGGACTATCACGACAGACGAACCGTAAATTTTTGTCGCAAACCCGTCTCGTCTACCGAAAATGTAGAAAAAGAAGTTAATATATGGATATCACTACAAAAATATTTACATATCTTATAACTTCCCTACCGAAATTCTCAAAGGAAAAACTTCTAAGAAAAAAACATTATTCAACAAAGTACGTTAAGATTTTTCAAAAACAGCTGACTAGAAGTTTTCCGATATCCGACCCAAGCGTTGTTCAAACAACTCTAGACTTGGTCCCGACAGATTTTTGGTCTATAGAAAGGGTCTAAGTTTGTTTTATCAATATAAAAAGGTAAGGTTAGTGTCTACAGGAAGCTGTGGGTTGTGGGCAGATTTAGCAACGAAGGGTCTATTTTGTTTACTATCCGAGTTTGAAGTTAATAAAGATGTAAATGGTGTTTCATTTTCTAACGTTTCGTTGTTGTAGTTATTGTCGATTTTAGTTAAAGGAGATTTTAGAATGATAAACATTAATGTCAGATTAGGAATAATAGGGTAGATAGAATAGAATAGCACACAAGCATAAATACAGCTCAAACTGAGAACGAACTTATTTTTTGAAGTCGGTTAAAAATGATGCTTTCTATAAAAAGAAATATATGCAATTAACTATCTACTACAAAAAGAGATATTTACATGCAAATGATTGTTATAATTTTTGTGGTTGTAAAACGACACGATTTCACAGGAAATGTATGATCAATTTTATGTTTTTAATTCATCTGAAGCGTGCTGCGGTATTGCCACTAATATGAAAACGAGTTTCATAATCTATAGGTATAAAAGTATTATGTACTTTCACATGTTAGGTAAACAGTTTGAGGTTGGTCGTCTAGTTTCAAACTATGACCGGGGTTTATAATCGTTACAAGTGCTCATTATTATTTTGCGCTCGTATTTAAACTTATTGTGTTTATACAGGTATGAAGACACAGGTGTGGTCGCATGTGCGATTGCCAGGTAAGGGGTCTCTTGTTCGATTCCCGGGTCAGACAAAAAGTTACTGGATTAAAAAAAATATTACTAGTAGCACAGAATCTGGAATAGTGCCTGGTAAATGGCAATAGGCTCACCGCCTTTACACGGGACACATAACATAAATAGTGAAAAGTGGGTGTTACATTGTACAATCGCATTAAGTGCCGTAACGTCCACTTCTGCCTACCCCTTCGGAAATATAAGGCGTGTTTTTATGTTATGTTATTGATACATACTAAGTTTCATCATATAGACATTACAATAAACCTACAATTCGACTATTTACTAGCAACATCAGACTCTAATATCAGTCCTTTGACCTCTGAACCGCCAATACAAATAAATATCTTTCTTTTTTTGTCCACATTGCATTTGAAGGCACTTGGTTAGAGTACTCCAATAATAAACAGACGTTCTTATGTCCGAAATATAGTGTTAGGATTTAACCCTAAGTGGCTACCCAGATAATCCGACCACTACGTAAATAAAATTGTATCTTAACTAAAAATCGCGGGTTACTCACGTGAATATACTAAGAAAAACTCTACTAGTTTCGTAGCGCTCTGTGCGACATCACCGCGACTGCGCACGCTGCTCATGAGGAAGAACCCCTCTGTGGTTCGAAACTAGTAGAGCTTTTCTCGGTATATTCACGTGATCCGCGATTTTTAGTTAATTTAGTATGTTTCACGATAGTAATTATAAACACAAAATTATATCTATTAGAAAATGGACACATGTGATTGTGAATAAAATTTATGGCATAATTCTTTTCAGTTTTTGAGTATTTTAAAATCACAACTTTTTATTTATTTATTTATAATGATATATTGAATTAGGGTCTTCAACAAGGAATATACTTAGACCACACAAGTAACATTACAAAAAAATTAAATGCTATGTACTTCCTCAATTACAGGAGGCCACAACATGCAAAAAAACATTCAGCCGAATTGATAACCTCCTCTTTTTTGGGAAGTCGGTTAAAATCATAATACTTTAAATCTTGCATATATGTGAGAATTAGAAATTAAATTTAAATTAAATTAAACTAAAATTAAATTAAAAAAAACTAAGAACAAAACACAGAACTGTCACTAAAATCAATACAAAAAGTAAAAAAAGTAAAAAAAAAATGTGAATATTAATAGTCATGTATTGAATATTGCCTCGTTGGCCGAGTGGTCGCAAGGGCGACTACCGGGGAAGGGGTGTCGGGTTCGATTCCCGGGTCGGGCAAAGTATTACTGGGTTTTAAAAAAAAATCTCAGTAGTAGCACGGAGTCTGGAAATGTGCCCGGTATATGGCAATAGGCTATTACATGGGACTCATAACATATATAGTGAAAAGTGGGTGTTACATTGTACAGTGGCATAATGTGCACCTCTGCCTACCCCTTCGGGGATAAAAGGCGTGATGTTATGTAATGTAAATATATTTTTTTAATTTTATTGAACATACTACTGAACTCTACTGTTGGTGCAGTTTTATTTACTTGTAACCGCTGCTGGGCAAATGGCTCGTCAAAGGTTAAAAATTTAAAATTGGTTTCAATATGTCCCTTACAGCCACAAATAAACTTATCAAACAAACATGCTCAAAGTGAATTCAGGTAAAATTATATTTGTTTTTTTACAGTTTCCAAACGAACAGGCATGATAGCCTAGCGGTATCATGACATTTCAGTCAATATGTAGGTAATCATTGTACTGTGGCATAATGTGCACCTCTGCCTACCCCTTCGGAGATAAAAGGCGTGATGTTATGTTATGTTATATAATCGTTTTACCCATACTCCGTAATCGCATTTACCTACTATCATAATCGCTTAGAGTAATCATAGTATAATTTAATAGAATTTCTAAGAATCCTTACTTCCGAGAAGTTTATATTATACCAAATAATATTAACATCAGGGTTACTGAGTATATTCGCCGACATTTAATTTGGAATATGTTCATAATAATATGCTGTTTTATTTCCCTTGGAGATGAGCATATAATACACTGTTATTCATCCAGTTATGAAGTACCATCTGTGTGTGTAACCGTCCGTATTTTGACGGTGACACAGTGGAATAAATAATAGTATTATATATGTTTAATATTGTCTGACAAGATTACCTAACACTGTCGTACTGGTTGATAAGGAATATGATTTTGTTAAATTAAGAATGTTAAGTTACATTAAGAATGTTTGTTAAATTAAGACTGCCTCGTTGGCCGAGTGGTCGCAAGCGAGACTGCCAGGCAAGGGGTCTCGGGTTCGATTCCCTGGTCGGGCAAAGTATTACTGGGTTTTAAAAAAAATCTCAGTAGTAGCACGGAGTCTGGAATTGTGCCCGGTATAGGCTCACCCCCTGTTACATGGGATTCATAACATAAATAGTGAAAAGTGGGTGTTACATTGTACAGTGGCATAATGTGGTCCTCTGCCTACCCCTTCGGGGATAAAAGGCGTGATGTTATGTTATATAAGAATGTTAAAAAAAGCAGGACATAGTCTCTTGAAACAACGACTGTGGCACCTGGCTACTATAGACTTGAACGTAGCATACACACACATTGACACGAAGGACATGTGCGTGCCGCTTGCGAGTCGTTTGCGGGCTGCCCGCGTGCTGCGCGCGTGCTGTCACGGCAATGGTTCAACTCATACAAGGCTCATATAAATATTAATTTTAAGTTCAAGCGCGCAACTTGCGAGCTGTGCATTTACGGAGTATTCGCCAGATGTGGATGCACCCAAGGCTCGCAAGCGGCATATTCTCCAGATGTGGATGCACCCTTACATATTACGGTTTTGCAAAGAGGTTTTACAATAATCTCTACGGTTGGCAGGTAATGGATTGGCAGTTTGTATTTGCCAAAAGCTGTGAAATTCTCAAAGGAAATCTGTGATGCATTTCAATAAAGACTAGAATTGCACTCGATTCAAAGAAACTCGATCTGTCAAAAGAGATTCGAGAATTGAACGCGTGGCTGTTCAAATCACGTACGGCTAGAGTTTAAGCTTTTATTTCTCTTTGAGAAATGGATAAACCGTTTTCAGTGATATATATATTTCTGAATATCGCTGTTACATTTTTCTGAATGGACAATATGGAGAGACTAAAATAATATTACCTAATTTTTCATGTATGCATCAAATATAGCAATTATTAATTTGATGCAATAAATTGCTATGCTTTTGATAATAGAATTGCGTCTAAATGATTACACACATAACATCACGCCTTTTATCCCCGAAGGGGTAGGCAAAGGAGCACCTTTGCCTACCAGAAGACACAGAAGTAACGCCCACTTTTCACTATTTATGTTATGAGTCCCATGTAATACGTGAGCCTATTGCCATTTACCGGGCACAATTCCAGACTCCGTGCTACTACTGAGACTTGTTTTAAAAACCCCGTAATACTTTTTTATTACAATCGAATTAAAGATTCCATTCAAATCGAACCAAAATAGATTTTGGTAGATATCCTTAAGGTTGGTATTATCTAATTCTCTATTATACACACATAGAAGTAAAGACTGGCAAAAACTAATTTCTTCTTCACCGCTTTTTCAAGGATTAATTGGTATAACTTACTTGGCTCCATCAGGGAATGCCATCACGCCAAGTCCAGAGCACAGGCCTCCAATCAGGGCTCCATCATACCTGGTACCGTCAGGTAGTACCAGATGTCCCATTCCATGCTTCTGGCCCTTAGAATTCCACTCGCCAACATAACGAGTCCCATCTTCGTACTTGTAGGCTCCTGTCTTCACAACTCCTGGGTCTATGACTGTAAACGTGTAACGACATGTGATGAGAAGTTGTTTTAAACTGTCAAACACCAAGCGGTCACCGGTGACCGCAACCTATTGTTCTTTAATTGTGTCTATAAATACGGTGCTCGACGAGTTAATAGCAAAATTTGAATAGGTTGCTAAGGTGCCTGCCGAGCAAAGACTCACGCGATCGATATACTGCTTAGAAAATATACTGCTTACTCGATTTTTTCAGATTTCTTTTTTATTTGATGGTTTGACGTTTAGCTACCATCTCACCTGGTGGTAAGCGATGATGTGGTCGAAGGTGGAGCACGCCTACTTATGAGCAACCAGTTTACTCGAGACTAGACTATTAAGATGAAGTCTAGAACTATGCCCAGTCAGTATATGAAAATAGGATCACCTCTGTTAGGGGTGTGTTGTGTACTTTGAAACTAACAACACAATTGGCATAAAGTGAAAAGATGAAATATAGATCTGAATATAAAATATATGCACCTAGCTAAGCTAAGCTAGCCCTTAAGGAAATGAAAGACGTTAAATCCAAAATAAGTGGTAACTTAAATGATCTATTAAAAGTATTTTTTTACATATAGATACAATTGTTAAAGGTTTAGATAATGCATTAATGAGGCTGTAAAAACATTTGTTTAAAAGAGTAACGATGGAGTATCTTGCTCATTCTTTCCATTCCAAACTACACTTGGAACTAGCACATACCTTCACTGACAGAAGAACACAGACAATTCAAATTTTGACGTTCCAAAAGTGCCTTTGACTTTAAATGTGCATACATATATGCGTCAGAAAACTAAAAAGTGCGGTAATAAAAAAAAAATGTAGTGTAATTGAAAATATTCTTACCGTCTACCATTGTGGAACTCGAAACTTGTACTGCCGTCGGCTGTAGTTAAATGGCTTCGACATTTCTTAGTAATCTAATTAAGGATGAGGCAAATTGTTTTTACTATCATCGATACTGCAAATTACTTGTCATTCTATTATTCCTTTGAGAGGTTTTGTTAAATAATATTGGTTAAGTAACATTGACGTTTGAGATATCATAATTTATAATGTATTTTGATGGCTTCATACAATTTTGCCCGTCGATGAAATGAATTTGGTTAATTATTCGAAAATCTTACTGAACAGAATTATTTTAGGACACTCGACCATCGAAGTAGTAAGCGTTCTAAAAGTAATACCTATGATACATAAAATAGCACCCGTAACGTCATCTATTACAAATTTCGGGCACTTTTCTGTGTACTATCAACATTATTTTTTCTGTGCTAACTTAAAATTACAGAAAGTGATGAGTATAATAATCATCATACCAAACATTATAATAAGTACCTATACAGAAGGCAGTTGTCCTAGCAACAGCTCGTATCATAAGACGATTTCTTTCAATGGAGCCCTAACCGACGGTAGCTTAGACCATTTATATTTTGTTTTTTTTTTGTTTAGTAGTATTTAAAAATATATCTCATAGAGAATTTTAAACATGGCATAATTATTTTACAATTTTCAATTTGATAAAACTGTTTATTCGACTTCGATCAGATTAAAAAAGGTGAAGTATCCACGTAGCAGTAAATTAACTGGCATTGTGTGACAAAAGTCTTTATTTTGCAAAGTAGGAAGTGTCAATTGAGGATATCTCGTCCAGTTTGTTCTAGAAACGATCGCGTTGTCGGAATAAATTCCCGAGGATCAGGTAATTTCTGCTGTTTACTGATTTGTAGGAACTGTTCAAATGTACGACTCACATGCTCATACTCAAGTATTTTTTTATGGCATTAGCCGGTAAACGAGCAGACGGATCACCTGATGGTAAGCAATCGGCGTCGACCATGGACACCTGGAACACCAGAGGCGTTACAAGTGCGTTACCGGCTTTTTGAGGATTAGGAGTTTGAGGATCGTTGAGGATTCAGGGATTGGGGAGATTGGGGAAGGGGAAGGGTAATTGGGCCTCCGGTAACCCACTCACACGACGAAACACAACGAAAGCGTTGCTTCATGTCGGTTTTCTGTGAGGCCGTGGTATCACTTCGGTCGAGCCGGCCCATGCGTGCCGAAGCATGGCTCTCCCATACTTATTAATAAGTAGTGTAAAAAATATGAAAAGAGCTACGAAGTGAAGTTAGTTAAAAAATATATATATTTTTTGCAGTGTGTTGGTTTCTGATCCTGTACTATGATTTCCAGACTTATCTTAAGTAGAGTATATAATAATTAATAAATGTAATCGTAACAAATTGACCATGCGCTGTTGGAATGCATTGAGCATCTTCTACATAAGAAAACTTTAAGGTAGCTCTACACATTGGGCAAACTATTGGACCAAAGTGAATTGTAAACATTCGGGAACCACAACTCATACGCCACAGTACGGTCTTAATGCCGACAACAAACAGAATGAAATGCCAATGTGAAAGCGCCGTTTGTGGAGCGCGCCAAGATCCTTTAATGTGCGCACGAAAAACCGACAACATTCGCTTGGCTAACTACCAACATACCGCTAAGTAGACCTTTACACGCTGGCTAAGCGTGCTGGCCTATACAAGGTGTAGTTTTGAAACCGTGTCATTTCACGGGGGCATGTCACAAAAGTCATAAAGGTTCAATGTAAGAGCAAATTTCGGGCCAATAGTTAAAAATACGCCTATAATAAATCGTTTAAGTCCGACAGTATTTCAGAATAAGCGAAAGCAATGTTTCTTATTGGAGTTTTATTGTATTAGGAATAATATCAATTACGTGTTTGAGTTTGTGTATGTGTTAAGCCACGCTATAAAGCTTGTTACAAGACGACGGCGTGTACTTCGCAATTAAGGTTTCCGTAATTTCAGAAAAATGAAAAATATCTATCTACAGTTTTTTTATTGATTCGAACTCAGAATCGATATCCGAGTTACCTCCTAGAAAATGACGTGGCTTTAAAACAACACCTTGTTTACATGTCAAAATGTCCATTCTAGGTTTTAGCAGATAACGTTGCTGCTTGGCCTCGGACAGAGAAGCAAATATCATTCTATTTGTGTTATTGTTACTTAAAACCAAGTAATTGAAATGCTATACATTATTTGTTATTAAAAACAATACAGAAACACAGTTCAAAGCGCGATTTCTAAATTCAGTGTGGGCGAGCATTGTGGGCGAAAGCTTGAGTCTAATTAAAATCAAAAACAATAGTAGGAATTTATTATAATATTTTCAGTTATATGGCAACAAAATAAATACTAGACTTTTGATTGTAGTTATTATCTATATATATAAAAGAAAGTCGTGTTAGTTACACTATTTATAACTCAAGAATGGCTAAATCGATTTGGATGAATATTGGTGGGGAGGTAGCTTAGAACCAGGAGACGGACATAGGATACTTTTTACCCAATTCTTTTTTTTTGCTTTTTACCGAAAATCAAGAAGGGAACGGGAAATATCGGGATTGCGGTACGAAGTCGCGGGCAGAAGCTAGTTAGGTATACAAAAATATAAATACCTACATACGCCAATCCGGTTGCCTTCTATTTCCTAACAGAGTAGGCAAACGTGCACATTTACAACACAACATCCAAATTCACCAGATAGGTATATTATACGTCCTTTGCAATAAGAGGTGAGCACATTTTCATGTATAACACCATTTCATAATTCGCCATTTCATAATAAGCCTGTAAACGAGCAGACGTATCATCTGATAGTAAGCAATCGGCGTCACTCATGGACATCCGGAACAACAGAGACGTTAAAAGTGCGTTACTGGCCTTTTTGGGATTAATAATTTAAGGATTGTTGGGGATTCAGGGATTGGGGAGATTGGGGAGGGGAGTAGTTGGGCCTCCGGTAACCTCACTCACACGACGAAACACAACGCAAGCGTTGCTTTACGTCGGTTTTCTATGAATCCGTGGTATTACTTCGGTGGCGCCAGCCCATTCGTGCCGAAACATGGCTCTACCACACTTAAATATTTAGAATTTTTTTACTGAGACTAAATTATTACTTAGAAATGGACGCGGGAATCTTTACCGAAACTACACAACTGTCCACTTACACTTGCGATCATCGTCCAGTACAGTCTACCAAAGGAGATAGACATCATTTACCTGATGGTTTAATCTAGAGATCAAATGAAGATTAACTAATCCTATAGTTAACTGTCCCACTGTCTGTTAACACTAGTTAGCTAAACTGTTAATCATAACTGCAACAGACTGTAATTTTGATCTAAATCAAGAGTTTCAAAATTATAGTAGACAATTATTTAATAATTATTCAATAATTATTTAATAAGTACCGTAAATTGAATTCTTATTAAAGAATCCGATTCAGGTTTTTTATTGATAATTTTTACACGATTGAATCAGAGTTTTATATTTTATGTAATTTCTTAACTTAATTGGCGTGATTTCTACATTCTCTCGATTCAGAGGCGGAGAAGAATCCCTTGATCCCTCATCAAGGGACCAAGAGATGATGATGAAAATGATACTCCCAAGTTTATCTGTCCAAAAATACAGAGCAAGTCTAGCAAGACGCCCCGTCTTTGAAGGATTCCCCTGAAAATAAAAAATACTTAGGTATTTATAACAAGTTAAGATGAATTCTCTAATTACTTTTCTATTGGTTTGTAATATATTTGAGATACAGATGACAAGGTTACTATAATGACTACGGCAAAAACGAAACACAACGAAAAAATATCCTAACACATAACAAGAAAAAATCAAGTGACATCGTTAAAAAATTGCGTTAAAAAAACTAACTTCAAAAAACCAAAAACTAATAACAAACAAAAAGTCAAAACTAAAAAGAAAAAAATAACGATTATTAGTATTGATGGGTTTCCCACCCACTAATAGGGTAGAAGTCGGCGCCATAAGCTCATATCATATATCCCCGGA